GCTATGTGAATTACTGAGTATCTAAAAATTAAGTATTTATAAAAAATATATAATAAAATTTGATGTTAATTTCAGTAATACATTGTAGTATGATAGTAACTAACAATATCAGTAATGTTATTATTTTGTGGAAAGAAAGTGTTATTGTTCACTTCACATACGTTTATGCGTTTTGAAAATGTATTAAAATAATAGTAATAAATGTGAAAACATCTTGTGTGTCACTAAAATATTATATTGGAAACGATTCAGTTACAAACGCACTTAACTTATTTAAAACTATTGCTGTCTTTTACTTTCGCATATACAGGGTCATTTTTAATTTACTGAAGACCTTTTGGGAATATATTGGTTACATCATTACAAACAATTTTAGTGAGATCACTCTTCACAGAATATAATACATTTACGAAAAAACTACTTTTAAGGTTTTGTTGTCATGTCTGACTCCTTTTAAGTCTATATTTTGTAGTACCTAAACAATGTCAGAATAAATCGTCAAAGAACATGCCTAAATAAGGCATTTTTACACTTGATACAGTATCAAACATTGTGTTGAAATCATTAAACATAATTAAATGAGCAAATGACATTAAAAAAAAAACACAAAAATTAAAATTTATAATAAGTAATTCTTGCCGCCGGGCCGGTCGACGCCCGCGCTCAGCTGATTGCGTTGCCAGTAGGGTTACCAGATGAAAATATTAAAAGTCCGGAGAAGAGGCCTGATTTCCATTTAAAAATCCTGAGATTGTTTTACAGTTTGAGAAGAAAACCTTACTTAAAAAGGTATCTTCACATATTAAGTATGATAAAACTGTTTAAGTACCTACTTGGATAAATAAGTTTTGATTTTAATTGTGGAATTATTACCAAAGGAAAATTATTTTTAGTTTGTTTAACTTTTTATTAAGAGATCTTTTAAAATGTAAGCTGTATTATATTAAAAGTTCTAAAAATCCAGAGATTTCATGAGATTTGCAAAATCCATCCGCAATCCTGAGAATAGTCTAAAAATCCTGAAATCTCAGGACAAATCCTGAGATATGGTAACCCTAGTTGCGAGAGCCTACTAAACCATTCATCACTGTGCCTATTCCACCAGGGCGCCACTTTAAATGACTTTACATTAACTTTTCATATACTTCTTTATTTTGCATAAAATCATTTGACGAACTATTTGATTCTTTTATTAATTTCTTTAAGAATTAATAGACATTCTTTAATAGACATTTAGGTAGTTTTTTTACGAATACTGTTTGCTAGCAACTCTGCCTGCATCCAAGTGGCAACGCCTCAACGTCGCACATGCGGCGGCCCAAGGCCAAGCCAAGGATATATTATAACGTCGACACAGGTGTCACCGTCATCAAAGGCGCCGCCTGCCCTTTTCGGTTTGCAGGCATCGATTTGGTGATCGATGTTTGCAGCACGTGCAAATTAAATGAGTATTATTAACTATTTTTTTATTTAATGTAAGTTGTATTTAAAAAATGGATGCAGGTTAAAATAATTATAAATATTACAATAAAATATTTATAATGATTAAATACAAATTAACAGTAATTGAATAAAGATATTAAGGTATAATGGTTCAATAAAAATATTAAAATACAAATTTAAAAATTAGACTAACCTAGGCCCAGTAACGTTGTATTAATGACGCCTGCCCACACATTGACACTAAACCGGTGTTGAAAGCTATGCGGTCTTGGTTCATGTGGATTTTCATAGCACCACAAGTGTTCATTGTGCGAATTAAATAGTCCTATTCTGCCAAATGTTGCTTCATCAGTCCATAAAATGTTGGCTCGTTCAGCAGCTAGTAACCAGTTACAAAATGTAACTCGCGCTGGTTTGTCAGCTTCGCTGAGTTCATGAACACGATGCAAGTGGAAAGGGTACTTCCCTTCATTGTGTATGACACTCCATGCGTAGTACTGTGACACATGGAACTGTCGGGCTGCCTCATAAGTGGTCGCTGCTGGATTTTGTTCAAAAAACTGCAGTATGTCTTCCTGCTCACGTACTGTGCGCCGCGGTGGACGACCACGATCGATTGATACAGGCTGGAATTGCCCGTAATCTCGCAATCGCTGTGTAGTACCTAGCATCTTAGCGTAGCTCGGTGCACGTGAGTTGGGAAATCGCCTTGAATATTCACGGCAGGCTTCACTAACGTTATCATTGCAAATTGCTAAAATTCGCACCATTTCGGTATACTCAATATTTGAGTATCGGTATGCCATTGTATTACGCGTAACGTTCGCGATATTAATCTCACAACGGAAGGAGAAAAGTCGCGGGCGCACAAAAGGCGACTGACCGACTGACGACACAGATAATTAGGTCAAGTTCAAATGAGCAAGCGCCGCCTCCTACACCCCTCCACCCCTACCCCGCCACGCGCTTTATTTTGCTGTTTAGGACTATTGCCGTTTAGAAGGTCCAATTAAAATATTTTTATTTTTGTATGAAAATAAAAATTGAAGAAATATAATTTCTTTTCTTACAGATGTTGTTGTTATGATGTAAATAATATATTCCCAAAAGGTCTTCAGTAAATTAAAAATTACCCTGTAGAAATGAGAGATGGCAATAATTTTTAATGCTGTCGGTTGAGTGAAACTTAAATAACTGAACAATTTTAGCTGGTACCTCACATTTCTTGCCTCAGCCAGTATCGAAATCCTCGGAGTCGACATATCGAGTGACGTGCAGTTTCGTGGTCACTTGGAAGAGAAGGCCAAATTGGCCTCTAAAAAGCTTGGCGTGCTCAGCAGAGCGGGATAGTATTTCATGCCAGCACACCGCCTTCAAATTTACAAGGCGCAGGTTCGGCCTCACATGGAATACTGTTCCCATTTCTGGGCAGGGGTTTCCCAGTGCCAGCTCCTTCCATTTGTCGAATCCGAATGTCGAATTGTCGACGACCGATTCCTTTCCGATCGGCTCGATTCATTGGCGCTGCGAAGAGATGTTGCATCTCTTTGCATTTTCTTTCGCATTTACCACGGGGAGTGCTCTGAGGAATTGTTCGGATTAATCCCAGCCACCAAATTTCACGAACGCACATCGCGGCAGAACTGCCGATACCATCCACACCATCTGGATGATTGGCGGTTCACCACTGTGCGATTTAGAAGATGTTTTCTACCTCGCACACCTTCCTTGTGGAATAGATTACCATCAGCGATTTTTCCGGACCGATACGACTTAGGGACCTTCAAGAAAAGAGCCTACTCCTTTTTAAAAGGCCGGCAATGCATCTGCAATTCCCCTGGTGTTGCAGTTGTTCATGGGCGGCGGTAGTCACTTACCATCAGGTGAGCCGCATGCTCGTTTGCCCCCTCTCCTATAAAAAAAAGTAAAAGTTGTTCATATTGACGCGTAGAATAGAAAGCACTATTTTTATTACACCATATATATAACTATTTTTTTAAATAATTTTTGAATATTAGTTAGACATGTAAATAAAAAAAATTAAACTGATAAAAGGGAGGCCTTATCATTTATATGTCATTTATTCAGAAGAAAAATCTATACATAATATACACAAATATATTTATACATTCGTTATTAATAAACTATTCATTTTTAAGTATTTCTGGAATACATTCATAACTATGAACTTAACTACTAAGCCATAGCATAAAATAAATTTTCCCGTTAATCGGGTAATAGTTAAGCTGCTCGCATATACAATTTTTCACGCACACTAGCATCATGCAAATTGTCTTATACACACTACAATATTAAGATGCCGCATTCATGGAGCTGTTACTTGCATAAAGCGCGGTATCTAGTCAGAGCGCGCGATGATTTATCATTAATCTATGCTTTTAACAAAGAAATAATTATCCTTTAAATTTTGACATTAACTACTCTGGGAATTTCAATTAAAGAGGTAGACACTAAAAAATTTTTGGGTTTGACTATAGATTATAAGCTGACATGGAAACCTCATATTGATAATCTAATTAAAAAACTAAACCAATTCTTTTATGCTCTTTATAAACTAAGGAAGGTTGCCATTGTTAACACTCTCCCAACAGCCTATCACGGATATGTTGCATCAAACTTAGGGTATGGAATAATATTTTGGGCAAACACTAATGAAAAACAAAGTGTCCTCAAAGCGCAAAAAAGTGTGTTAAATCGATGTTCGGTCTAAATCAGAATGATTCATGTGAACCGTACTTTTGCAAATATAAAATTCTGACTCTACCGTGTATGTATATACACGGTAGAGTCAGAATATATATGAGGTTGCAAACTTTGCTTGAAATAACCCAATTTATTTTGAAATCAATACTGCCGGAAGTCGCCGTGAAGGCACATTGAAATTTAACCACACATGCAAACCCTTCTTCGAAGAATGTGTGTAAATTGCATGGCATCAAAATCTATAATAAAATCCCATTAAATATCCGATTAATTATGATGTCAAAAGATTTAAAACTGCGCTCAATGGCTTCCTTTTTAAAAAAGTGTACTATGACAAAAGAATATTTTTTGATGACAAAATTTAAAAATTACTTCAATTATGTTCATATACCTCTAAGGTGAAGCATGGCTGTATCTAATAATAACTTTGTATGTGACATCCTGTAATACCTTACACATACTTATGAATTAATAAATGAATGATTGATTTTGTTGCTCTAAGATAAAGAATTCTATTCTGTGGCAGTTTAGTCTCTCTTTGGTTATTGCTAGTCGATTTGAATGGCTTAAAAACAAGCATCCAAGCCTAACAATTTTATAAAATAAAAAAATAACTGGTTGATTTGACAGCTCTCTCTCTGTCAAATTGTAGTGTAGAAAAAATTGTCAATTAGAAATGAACAGCTGTCGACGTTTTTAGATTATTATTTAATTAATGAGTGGTGTATTCAGGATTTAGCTATTACGCTGTTTACATACATATCTCCTAAATGATTGTAAATTTGTTAGTTTTTTTCTAATTTAACGAACAATAGTGTGTTGTCTGGTCAAGTATGTCGCTTCCTCCTCTTGTTTGCAATACACCACCACCACCAGATCAGTGCGAAGATGACAAAGACACTGATGATTTTGATGTTAACTACAATTGTAAGTTAAGGCCTGTGCTAGATTACCTTGCTATATTATTATGTTTAAAGAGAAAATTAGTAGTAAATCTTGGCATAATTATTTTGAGTTTAATTATATTGTTGTTATTATAAATAAGGTATTTATATTACAAATCCAATGAATGTAAACATAAAGTATTGCATCAAATCCTTTTAGCCTTTCTATTTTAGCATCTTGTAATATAAATAATTATTACTTTACAGTATCACAAGACGAGGATGAAGAGAACAACGATTATGATTATCAGACATATACTAATTATAATATGTATGAACCCTCAAAATCAGAATCAATACAAGAAAGAAACTGGTCCCCTATTATTACCAAAACTTTGGAAAGTATTACAAATGAAAACATAACTGAAAAAAATACACAAAGGAATGAACAACAAAATGAACAACAACAAGACAAATTGACCATTGATGATGTGGCTGCCGAAGATTTAAATTTGCAAATAAATGAAGATCAATTGAGTAAACCTAACATAAATTCAGAAAACAGTGAAATGGATAATTGTGAAAATGATTTCCTTTCCAAAGAAATTACAACACCATTTGATAATAAAACAAGCATTGAGTCTGATATTGTTATGCAAGATGACAGTACTTCTAGGTCCAACACCCCTGACGACATTTCTTCTGCAATAGTAACTGAACATTTTGATTCTAATTATGATGATGTTGAAGTTCATTGTGATGAATTTAATTCCAATTTAGAATCAAAAAACAATGGTACGGAAGCAGATCAGTCTTTTGATGAACTTGAAACTAAAAAGGAGTTGAAAGATTTAGAAGACAGTGTAGAGACTGAAGATGACTTTGGTGATTTTGATGACTTTCAATTTGTTGGCAATAACAATCATATAACAACAGTAATAGATAATTTTGAAGATCCATGGAATAATGAAACACCTCAAACCAGTGATTTTGGCCCCTTCAAAGCTGATTTTGATGATAACATTAATAGTTCACATGAAGCTGACACAGAAATAAAAAATATCAAAAGTAATATTAGTTTAGAAAATCAGAAAAATAATGATGACAATGTTCAAGATGATTTTGGGGACTTTGATGATTTTAAATCATGTGTTGAACAAATTGACACAAAAGATAAAGTCCCACAGTCAAAAGAACAAGTTACCATATTAGATTTACATTCACCAGATAATGAAAGTCAAATTTTAGAAAGTATTAACAATGTTTTTATTTCTATTTTTGAGGAAGAAATATCAGAACCACAGTCTCAATTCATAGGAAGTTTAGAGTCTGTACTTAATGAGAAATGGGGACATTTAGTAGATACAGATGTAAGACAACCCTATATGGTCAATTGGAATAATTCATTAGGCCAGAAAAATCTCTTAAAAGCTCTTTGTATTGATTCAAGAAATATTGTAAGACTTTTCCTTATGTACCTACTAATGGATACTTTTATTTTTCTGATCATTGAACTTTTTATTGAATGTTTTGTTTACTTTCAGCTATTTGGGCCCAAATGGAATTACAATATGCCTAAGTACGCAGTAAACCTAAATACTGCCCCTCTACAACCACAAAAAGAGTTAACAGCACCTTTGTCACATTCAGAAATTGTAAATTCTGATAAGTCTTCACTTAAAGAGACTGACACTTGGACGGATCCTTTTTCATCTAATGGACAAGAATGTAAGTTTTTATAAAAATATTATGCAAATGAAAGTGCTGAACAAGGCTCACGGGCTGCTGGTGTACTGCATTCCAAATTTTACATTTCAATAATTCACAATAGTATGCTAGAGTTTGAAAATCATTGCACTGATGTCAATGATATTTAAAAAGTATAGATATGTTACCTTTTTAACGGGACATTCAAATTTGAATGTGTTGCATCTTAAAATGTATCTTAGCATTGCAGTTGCTAATAACTCAGTGCCAGATAATATTGCTAAATTTAAATATGTCACAAATATGACAAGTGAAGAAGATCTTGAAGTTTCATTCCCTAAGCATTTATTTAACCCACAAAGATAATATATCTTTGATCATTCATCTAGAGACCATTAGGAAATGTAAGTCTTATGCCCTTGTCCCTTTCTCAACATATTATCCTATATCACTTAAAAATGCTTTTTCCCCAAGATCATAGGCTCCTTAAGCAATTTGGGGCCCATAGTCAGTTGCCTTCTTCACCATTAGGTTAATCTTGCCCTATCTACTCATTAGAATTTGACATCTTAAAATAAAATACATTTCTCCAGTTATTTTCTAACTGTAATGTGTTAATTGGTTGTGAGTTTCGACAAATATGTTGTAAGCCGACTATCTCCTTCTGCCATGTTATTGTGTTCTGTGTAACATATCTATAGTTTCAAACAACATTGAAATTATTTCCTTACATAACAAGTTAATTGCAATGTGAAGTAACACAAACATAAAAATTGTCTCCTTGTATTAATTTATGCTTAATTGTAATAAAAATGACAACATTTTAGAGTTTGCACACAAGGAAAGATACTTGCTTTCTAACAAAGTATAAACTACTGGTATATTTTAGCATTTCTTTAACGTGTTCTATAAAATATATTTTTTACTATTTATTAATTAAGCTTCCTGTAATATGTTTATTCATCACTGTAAAATTTTTTTGCATGTCTTGCACATGGATTAACATCATTCACTTGTACATTTTGCTTAACCCAACAATCCTCCCTAAAGGCACATATGCTGAAGCCCTCCTACTAGATCTTGAACATCTAATGGCTACTTTAGATCAAATGGCTCACAAACATTCCACACTCAAAATTTCAGAGTTATTATCACAGGGTAAGTCCCGTAGATGTAATAATGTAGGATTACAAGCTATTATATATACATAACATAACACAATAGTAATATACCTTTATTTAAGTTCAAATTATTTTTATTTTCATTAAATAATTGGTTATTAATATAATGTAGAGAGAGATATGAAAACATTGACTATTACAGCCTATTTAAGTCCACCACTGACCAAAGGCCTCCCCTCCAAGGAAAGTTGCCACACTTGGCAAGCGGGTTGGCAACTGCAGTTTTTTATTTTTAGTCATTATTACGAAGATGCTACTGCCCATCTCCTGATTTATTTCCCTCTGTCACCTCTTACAATACTGACGGGATGATATGGAATAGTGGATATTCTTACACTGTCACTGTGTACTTGTAATAAGTTTATCAATGCACCAATACAAAATCCTGTAAATATTTTATTTTATTTTGAAAGGATATAGGAAATATATTCAACTAATTTTTTTTTCCTAAGCTCTGTTATTAAAACATGACCTTTCTATTATACTCGGTCTAACCATTTATTTTACTTTTGAGATACACAAAAATATGTAGGAAAAGGTATGTATAGTGAATGGATATGCTCTATAGCTACATATCCATGCCAATATTTATTGAGCCCACAGATTATGTATAAAGTCAGGAAAAAGTTACCTCGTATTTTATATACATATTCACGACATTTTTTTTTCAAAGTTTAATTACATTTAATTATAATATAAATGTGCCATTTTGTTCGATAAGTTGTTGCCATCTTGTAGGTAGTGACATAAACCTGTAGAAATCTTGGGATTTTTGATCAAAAAAACGCGACAAGTAATTTTGGCAGTCCTCTCTTGATGATAACCTAACTGTTGTGGCTTCGGAACAGTCCCGATCTAATATCCTTTTCCTAAGTATTTTCTATCCTCCCGCCTCCCCTATGTACGCACTACTCAAGAATGGTGCGCCACCTATCGCCAAGAGAAATAAGAAGCAAGATTCTCGTTCAAAAATACTCAATAAAGACTATCATGCAATTGCTCGTGTCCATGTACGAGGGCGGCACTGGAAATTTCGGGAATCAAGGAAGTGACACAACATTACTATTTAAAAATGTATTTATTGCTTTTCGAAGTATTCTCCGCGAAATTTGACACATTTTTCCATACGATGGAACCAATCTTCGAAGCAACCATTCATTCGGAAGTTGGGGTCTCCAAAATGGCCGTTTTGTAGGCGTCTACAGCTTCTTCAGGTGATGAAAATCTCTGTCCACGCAATTTATTCTTTATTTTAGGGAAAGTATAAAAATCATTAGGGCTTAGGTCGGGGCTGTACGGCAGATGGTCTAATAATTCTATGTTTTCTTGCTCTAAAAACTCTTGTTCTGTGTGCGGTGTGAGAACTCGCATTGTCGTGATGGAGGATGATGCGGCGGTTGCAGTTCTCTTTATGGAGTTCAGAAACGACCTGTGGCAAACAAATGCTAGCATACCATTCTGCATTAACGGTTCTTTTTCCCTCAAGAGGAATAGTCGTAACATGGCCGGTTTTGGAGACAAACGTGGCCACCATTTTTTTTTTCAACACTCCATGAACGAACAATTTTTGTTGGCTTTAACTCATTTTCGAACACCCAAACTCGTGACTGGTTTTTTGTTTCGGGTTCGTACGCGTATATCCAGGATTCCTCACCTGATACAATGTTGTATACAGCATTTGAGGATCCTGCGTGGAATCTTTCGAGAGTTCTGACGCACCAAGTAACGCGAGCCACTTTTTGCTCTTCACAGAGCGAATGCGGTATCCATCGGGAAAACAACTTTTTTACACCTAATTGTTCATGCAAGATTATTTATATTTGACTCATGCCAATGTCTAAAGTTGCCTGAATTTCGCGGTATGTCACATGTCGATCTTCCTCAATCAGCTTACGCACAGCATCAACGTTTTCTTAGGTGACTGCAGTTTTTGGACGACCTTGACGGGGATCATCACTGAGCTTGACACGTCGACGTTGAAATTCAACAAACCAGCGATAAATTTTGGTTTTGGATGGGGCTTCATCACCAAATGCAGAAATCATCCGGTCAACACACTGTTTTTATGTTAAACCACTTCGAAAGTCATAATAAATCATCGCTCTTGAATTTTCTCGAGTCAATTCCATTTTCTCAACGACTAAACAAGTTTGACAAAACCTTGTGACAAGACCGAGAATCTTTATTTAAATAAATAAATGGTATTCAATTTTAAAAAACCAAGGACTTCAATAAAAAGATTTTAATATGACAGGAACAGTGGAAATATTCCATTCCCGATACTTTTAGTGCAGCCTATGTACATACCTAAGTACAGTGTGGTGTATGTGTATACACTAGAACTTGAGCATAAATATTTAGACTTCACCATAACCACGAGGATGTGCTCCAGTCTTGTGAGTATCCTTGCCTTATCAACCCAGTTCTAAAGCTGTTTTCGTTTACTTCCCCGTTGGGATCATCGGGTTGGCCAGCCCTTGGTCTGGTTGTTCTCTGGTTCCCAAAATAACCCACGAAACATTCAAACCGTAACACTAACACTACCCAAAGAATTCTGAAGATACTGAAACAGGTGAAAATCTTAGGATGCAAGGTCAGGACTATATGGTGGATGCATTAACACTTTCCAACCAAGCTCTTTCAATTTTTGCTGAGTGGCCAAATATGTGTGTGGTCTGGCATTGTTATGATGAAAGACCACTTCTTTTCTGTTGATCAATTCCGGCCGTTTAATCTCAATTTCTTGCTTGAGTCTAATTAGCTGTTGGTAGTAGAGATCCGAATCGATGGTTTTACCCGGCGGTAAAAGCGGTTAGCTTTTCGCTGTTGGAGTCGCACTTTTTCTGTTTTGTAATAAAATTTCAGAATATATCTAATTTCTTCGTAGGATTCACTCATTTTGGCGGACAGAAAAACAATTTTAAAATGACGGGGAAATGTTTTTTACTTTTTAATTTTCTTTTTAACTTCTTGGAAGTTATAGATTTCCAGAGGTTTTGAGAATCTGATCCCCGGCTGGACGTCCGGCCATGTGTGTGTGTGTGTGTGTGTGTGCTTCTATGTATGTAAATGAAATATTGTCGAAAATCTTTATAACAAATCATCCAATCGAAATGGGCGACACGGTGTTCGAAAGTTTTCATTGAGACTTCGAGCTGATTAAGATTTTCAAGTCTATCGCTCGAGCCGTTTTAAAGATTTTTCATAAAATAAAAAACAAAAATTAAATAGATTTTCGAGCGTTGCGTCAACCGTTGTCAACCGGGTCAATCGTTTTTCAGATTTTTCTTAATATCCTATATTATATATTGATATTAAAACCAGCGAGACACAAAGTACAGTACAACCAAAGAGATTTTTTTTTTCAATTTTATAGAAACAAAATACGAAAAAACTTTTTCTCCGACATATTATTAATAGTTATTGGGGGTTTAGCCATAAAGTGTCAGTTTAGTTGGAAACTTGTGAAATATGTGATAAATGGCTGGCACATTGTCAATTTTGTTTTACTTATTATAAGCCAGTGCTTGACCACAAAACCACAATCCCACCTGGTGGTAAGTGGTTATGCAGTTTTAGATGGCAAATCGCACTGAATATTATTAATTAGCGTACCAAAAGCCTATTCACTCTTGCCTTGAAGACGCCCAGATTATATTCGGACGGAAAGATAGACGCCGGCGAATTATTCCACTCCTTTGCTGTACGCACTAGAAAAGATGAAGCAAACCGTTTGGTTCTAATGCGTGGAATATCGACAACAAAGGGATGAAGACCCGCCGACCACCTGGTTGTCCGATGGTGGAAAGGAGAGGGTAATTAAAGCGTGTAATTCCTGTG